CTCAGGTATATGTAATTTGAGATACCCTTTTAGATAATTTTCAATTATCTACTTGAGGCAGAAAGCCAGACTAGATATCCTGTATACCAATATATTATTTAAAATATTATTTTATGTTTGGTGTTTTGCTTACATGTATGTTTCTACACCACATGCATGTCTGGTGCCCTCAGAGGTCAGAAGAGAGCCTTGGATTTTCTGGGCCTGGAGTTACAGAAGGTTGTGAGCGGCCATGTGGATGCTGGGAGGAAAGTGAATCTGGTTCCTCTACAAGAGCAGCCAGTGCTCTTAACCACTGACACTGAGCTCAGTGGTTCTCAACCTTCCTAATGCTGCAACCTTTTAGTACAGTTCTCTTGTTGTCGTGACTGCAACCATACAGTTATTTTTGTTGCTACTTCATGCCTGTAATTTTGCTGCTGTTGTGAATTGTAATGTAAATGTCTGATATTTCTGATGAAAGGGTTGACTCAAGGGGTTGCAACCCTATATTCTTACCTGCGGTGATCCAAGCAATGATGTCATGGAGGTTTGGTGGATTTTTACTGATTAGGAACTAAACGAATAAGGTGCAAGGGAGGAGGGAGTAGAAAAGAACTGTATTTGTTGTTCATGATGTTCTTTGGAGTGATCGTGTTAAATGGAATTTGGAATATAAGAGAGTGGAGACATTGTTTTTGAAGTGCACCCCAGTGAATACAACGTAGCTTTCATTAAAATAATTTATTTTCATGTTTTGATACAGAGTCTCACCATATGGCCCAGACTGCTCTCAAATGTGTATAGCTGAAGGTGGCCTCAGATTTTGTAAGAATCCACTTTGGCCTCCCAAATTCTGGGATTTCAGACTTGGGCTAACATGCTCAGCTTCAATTATTTTTTTTTGTAATGTTGAGTTAGGCAGTGGTTTTAGTGTCCAAAATTAATTGTAAAATGTGTTATAAAATTCCACAGTAATTTCAGTTTTTGAATATCAATAGCCTTAGCATATTTTTAAAAACGAGTGAATTTGTTTTTAACAGGGAAAGTTTGGCTGCTGGTGATTTTAATTTAGGGTCTAATGTCAGCTTGGCAAAAATTAAACAGGACCAGAAACTTATTGAAGAGAATGAAAAGCTTAAGACAGAGAAAGAGGTTCTTCTAGAAAATTACAAGGCATTAGAATTGAAAGTTGAACAAACTTCGCAAGAGCTTCAGGTATATCAGTGGCTTGTGATAAAGTTATTTTATGAAATTTGTGCACTTACTGCTCTTATTTGTTATTTTGTTACTCTGTCTCCATCCATTCTCTCTTGATATTTATGTGAGGAGAATTTTTTCTTGTATTTCAAGCTAACCATGTGTATATTTCATTGGCTGTTTGAAATTTTTCATTTGTATTTTCTCTCATGTTCTTGAATTGTGAGTTCATTGTGTACAGGTGCATTTACATGTGTGTGAACGTATATGTGGAGGCCAGAGGTTAATGTCAGATGTTTCCCTCATTCCACTTTACTTTCTGAGACAGGCCTTTCTCTGAACTTGGAGCACGCTGATTTGGCTGGACTGACTGGACAGCAAACCCCAAAGATCCTCCTTTTTTCTGCCTCCCCTGTCCAGTGCTTCATTACGGATGTGGACCACTGTGGTGCTTGACTTTTCAGTGGATTCGGGAACCTAACTCTGGTCCTCATACTTGTTTAGCAAGCACTTTACTGACAGAACCAGCTCTACAGCCCCTAAAACTTTTACATTATGGAAAATCTCAAATATTCCAGAAAGAGATAAGTCATGATTAATCTCTACATTGCTCATCACTATTTTTTTTACAGTCTTTGGTTTTTAAAAATCTATTATTAAATCTATACTTCAGGTAATGTTTCAAAACAAGAACAATTAATAGTATTTCACATTCTTAAGAATGTGTCTATTTCTGTGTGTAGTGGTACATACACACCTTTAATTCCAGCACTGGAGAGGCTAAGGTAGGCAGATCTCAATGGGGCTGAGGCCATCCTGGTCTATATAGCAATATCCATGCCAGCCAAGTTTACAAAAAAGAGTATATATCTATTGCTAATATATAAGGATGTTAAACTAGAGTTGAGTGTTGTGGTGCATGCATTTTTTAGTGCCAGCACTTGGGGCAGACACAGGTGATTTTGATGTCCGCCTAGTCTACATAGTGAGTTCTAGACTGTCCAGGGTTGCACAGTGAGACCCTGTCACCACCACCCAGTGTCACCATCACTTTGACCTTTTCCACTTCCTTCAAACAAGTACTAGGTACAGGTGCCCTGGGTTAGATCCCAGCCCTCCCCAACTGATAGTCAACAAAATTATAACAATACTATATAGTTCGTAGTAAAATAAGCAGTAATTGCATAATACCATTTATATCACATTTCCCATATTGCTTTATGGAGTGTTTAAAAATTATCCCTTTCAACTAGAGTCCTAGACTTAGTATTAGCTGTCCAACAATTAATTCAGTTCTGACAATAACATATTTTAAACCCTAAACATTTTGCTTGAGTCTACCTAAAAAGTTACTTGAAGGCTAGAAGTATGGTGTCCTAATTAGTTCTCACTGATTGGTATATTTTTTTTAAACATTTTGCTTGAGTCTACCTAAAAAGTTACTTGAAAGCTAGAAGTATGGTGTCCTAATTAGTTCTCACTGATTGGTATATTTTTTTATGTTTCAGCAAGAGAAAACAGTTACCATGGATCTGACTAAGCATTTAGAAAGCACTCTGAAGACGTGTGTAGGAACCAGGCTGAAGAATCTAGCTGCTAAAGTGGCACTATTGAAAGAAATTAGGTACTTCAAAGCAAAATTTATGTTTTTCTTTCAGTTCTGGTTATTGAGCCCAGAATCTTACACATACTAGGCATATTCTGAGCAAAAATTTCAGCCTCAAAGAATGTTTTATATGTGGATGTAAATGTGTGTTTGTGTGCATACTTGTGCTTGGGTGCATGTGTGGAGGTCACAGCACAACTTCGAGTATCATTCCTTATGTGCTTTCTACGTTGGTTGGTTTTTGAGACAGGGTTTCTCACTTTCTGAACTCACTAGGTAGGCGGTTCTGCCACCTAGACCCAGGGTGCACTGGTCTCCACCTCCTTAGCACTGGGGTTAACATTTTGAGTGTAGGTTCTGGAGATTCAAGTTGGGTCTCCATTCTCCATTGTAGTAAGCACTTTATCAACTGATCTCTTTAGACCCCCCCCTTCAACAACACTTTTTGTTTTGCAAATAATACTTAAAAATTGCTCATTGGTGTTTTGCATAAAATTTGTGTGTATACTGTTTTTGCTTTTAAGGTTTAGTCTTTGGATTTTTATGATTTCAAAGAAAATGTTCCAAACCTAAGATTAATTTTACAGAATCTTTTGGTCCATTTTCTGGTCTCACTTAAAGCCATAGTGCCTTAAGTTCATATTTGAGAGTGAAATTAGAAGCCCCCCAGCCCACTTCAGCTTCTTAGTGTTGGCTTGATGGAAAACCAGTATGTTTAACTGTACTATTTGAGTTTTTTTCAGTTTACTGAAGCTGAAGTTTTTTTTTCCATTTTTAAAAAAAGTTTATGTCCTGGTTGCAGTTTCTCTTCCTTTACTCTCTTCCCAGTCCTTCCCCCAACCTTCACCTCCCCTCTGTTCCCACCCCTCAAGTCCACTCCTGTTTCTGTTTAGGAAAGGGCAGATCTCCCATGAGTTTCATCAAAACGTGACATAATAAGTTGCAGTAAGACTAAGCACCTCCCCATGTATTAAAGCTGGACAAGGTGACCCCTATGATAAGTATGGTCCCCAAAGCCTGTAAAAGAGTAGGAGACAGCCCCTGTTCCTACTGCTAGGAGTCCCACAAGAGGCCCCAAGCTACACAACTGTAACATATATGCAGAGGACCTAGGTCAGTTCCACGCAGACTCCCTGTTTGACAATTCAGTCTCTGTGAGCCCCTATGAGCCCAGATTAGTTGATTCTTTGATTTTTTTCTTATGTTTTTTGACCCCTCTGACTCCTATAATCCTTTCTCCCCCTTTTTTGCAGGATTCCCCAAAGCTTCACCTAATGTTTGACTGTGAGTCTGCATCTGTTTCCATCCGTTGCTAGATAAAGCCTCTCTGAGGACAATTGGGCTAGGCACCAATCTATGAGTATAGCAGAATATTGTTAGGCACCATTACATTGACATTTTCCCTCTGCAGTCATACTTGGTTTTATCCTGGATCTTTGGGTCATCCAGCCTATGGGTCCTGGTACTACAGGCAGTATAAGGGGGTGGCCTCGTCTCCTGGCAGGGGTTTTAGGGTAGGCCAGTCATTGGTTGGCCACTGCCTCAGTGTCTTGGCCATCCTTACCCTAGCATATCCCATAGGCAGGACAAACTTGAGGTTGAAGGTCTGGGGTGGTTTCCCACTCCCTCTACTTGGAGTCTTGCCTGGTACAGGAGATGGCTAGTTCAGCTGTGTATCTGTTGTTGTTAGGAGTCTTAGCTGAGGTCATCCTTGTAGATACCTGGGAGATTCCCTTGTGCCAGGTTTTTCCCTGACCCCAAAATGCCCGCCCCTTTCCAGTAGACTCTCTTAGCGTTACCCCAAGGTATTTCATGTTGTTCGTGGCAATTGTAAACGGTAATGTTTCTCTGATTTCTTTCTCAGCCCTTTTGTCTTCTGTATGTAGGGTTACTGATTTTTTTGAGTTGTTCTTGTATCCTGCCACTTTGCTGAAGGTGTTTATCTGCTGTAGGAATTCCCTGGTAGAGTTTTTTGGGTCACTTATGTGAGCTATCATATTATCTGCAAATAGTGAACGTTTGAGGTCTTCTTTTCCTTTTGTTGATCTCCTTTTGTTGTCTTATTTCTCTATCAGGAACTTCAAGTACAATATTGAAGAGATAAGGAGAGAGGGGACTGCCTTCTCTTGTTCCTGATCTTAGAGGAATCGTGATGAGTTTCTCTCCATTTAGTTTTATGTTGGCTGTTGGTTTGCTGTATTTAGCTTTTATTATGTTTAGATAAGTTCCTGTTATTCCAGATCTCTCCATACCTTTATCATGAAGGGGTGTTGGATTTTGTCCAATTCTTTTTCAGCATCTAGTGTGATTTTTGTTTCTCAACTTGTTTATATGATGGATTATATTGATGGATTTTCATATGTTGAACCATCCTTGCATCCCTGGCTTGAAGCCTACTTGATCATGGTGGATGATTTTTCTGATGTGTTCTTGGATTTGATTTGCTAGTATTTTATTGAGTATTTTTGCATCAATGTTCATGAGGGATATTGGTCTGAAGTTCTCTTTCTTAGTTGTGTCTTTGTGTGGCTTGGGTATCAAGGTTATTGAAGCCTTGTAAAAAGAGTTTGGCAATGACTCTTCTGCTTCTGTTGTGTGGAATACTTTGAGGAGAATTGGTATTAGATGTTCTTTGAATTTCTTCTACAATTTGGCACTGAAGCTCTGAGCTTTTTTGGTTGTGAGACTTTTGATTATTTCTTCTATTTCATTAGGGGTTATAGGTCTATTTAAATTGCCTATCTGTTCTTGATTTAGTTTTGGTCAGTGATATCTATCTAGAAAATTATCCATTCCTTTAAATTTTTGAATTTTGTAGAGTACAGGTTTTCAAAGTATGACCTGATAATTCTCTGGTTTTCCTCAGTGTCTGTTATTATGTACCCCCTTTCATTTCTGAATTGCTAGTTTGCATGTTCACACTCTTCCATTTGGAAAGTACTTATCTTGTTGATTTTTCTTGAAGAACCAACTCTTTGTTACATTGATTCTTGTATTTTCCTAGTTTCTACTTTCTTGATTTCAGCTCTCAATTTGATTATTTCCTGGCATCTACTCCTCCAGAGTGAGTTTGCTTCTTTTTGTTCTGGAGCTTTCAATTGTGTTGTTAATTCTCTAGTGTAACTATTCTCCAGTTTCTTCATGTGGGCACTTTCTTCTTAGCACTGCTTTGAAAGTGTCCCATAAGTTTGGGTATGTTGTGTCTTTATTCTCATTGAATTCTAGTAAGTCTTTTTCTTTTTATTTCTTCTTTGACCCAAGAATGGTGCAATTGCACATTATTGAATTTCCATGAGTTTATAGGTTTTCTGCTGTTTGTGTTGTTGTTGAATTCTAACTTTAAAGCATGGTGGTCTGATTAGATACATGGAGTTATTCCACATTTTTTTGTACCTGTTGAGTTTTGATATGT